CACAACATGGAAAAACCACTTCATATACATTAGGATAGCTATTATCAAAATAATGGAAAATAAGTGTTGGCGAGGGTGTAAGAGAAATCGGAACCCTGGCGTATTGCTGGTAGGAATGTAAAATGGTGCAGCCTCTATGGAAAACAGTTTGGCAATTCCACAAAAAGTTAAACATAGAATTACTATATGACCCAGCAATTCTACTTCTAGATATACATTAAAAAGAATGGAAATCAGGGACTCAAACAGACAATTGCACACCAATGTTCACAGCAACATTATTCACGATAAGCCAAAAGGTAGTTACAACTCAAATGTCCATCAACAGACGAATGGGTAAAAAATGTGGTCTATACATACAAAGGAATATTACTCAGCCATAAAGAGGAATAAAATTTTGACATATGCTGCAACATGGATGAACCTGGAGAGCATTCTGTTAAGTGAAATGAGCCAAACACAAAAGAACAAATTCTGCATGATTCCGCTTGCATGAAGTCTCTAGAATAGGAAAATTCATAGAGACAGAAAGTAGAATGCAAGTTACCTGGGGCTAGGGGACAGGAGAGTTTAGGGAGTTACTATTAATGGCTACAAAGTTTCAGTTTGGGATGACGAAAAAGTTCTCGGAATGGATTGGGGTGATGGTTGCAAAACACTGTCAATGTACTTAATGCCACTGAACTGTAAGTTTAAAAATGGTTAAAATGATAAATTTTGTGTTATGTATATTTTACAACAATTTAAATTTTTTAATCATAAAAATAGGGAAGAAGGAATTTAAAAATCTTTCCACAATAAAACAGCAAGTCTGGATGACTTAAGAGATGAGTTCTACCAGACTTGTTTTTCTTTTTTCAGGGTCTCACTTTGTCACCCAATCTGGAGTGCAGTGACATGATCATAGTTCACTGCAGCTCCAAACTCATGGGCTCAAGAGAGCCCCCTGCCTCAGCCTCCCAAGTAGATGGGACTACAGGTATGCGCCACCATGTCCAGCTAATTTTTAAATTTTTTGTAGAGATGGGGTCTCACTATGTTTCCCAGGCTCAGACTTGTTTTTCATACAGTATTTTTAGTTTTATTTTTCCAGCTTTATTGAGGTATAATTGACAAATAAAAGTTGCAGATATTTCAAGGAATACAACATGATATTTTGAAACATGTATACATTGTGAAATGTTTACCAAAATCAAGCTAATTAGCATATAATTATGTCATATAGTTATTTATTTAGGGTGAGAACACTTAAGATCTCTCTTGCAAATTTCAAGTATACTATACAGTACTGTTAACTATAGACACCATGCTATACATAAGATCTCCAGAACTTATTCACCCTGCATAACTGATGTACTCATTCCCCATCCCTCTCCAGTCTCTAGTAACCAAGATTGTACTATCTGCTTCTGAGAGTTAGACTTTTTTAGATTCCACATAAAAGTGAAATAATGCAGTATTTGTCTTTCTGTGTCTGGCTTATTTGACTTAGCATAATGTTTTCCAGGGGCATGTATGTTGTTACAAATGACAAGATTTTCTTCTTTTTCAAGGCTGAATAATATTCCATTATATATATAATATGTATAGATACATACATACATGTCATATATATCATATTTTCTTTATCCATTCATCTGTCAACAGGCACTCAGGTTTATTGCTCCATGAATTAATATAGATGTGTTTGCAGACAGGATTTGTCTTAGGAGTTTTGCAAAGCTTTGACCTGAAGGAATATGTGAACATGTTGGTTTGCATTTCAAATGCTGTTACACTCCGAAGGGCATCTCTGAAAGATAGTAGCGGCTGTATCCCACAAGGCGCCGCGTTTCTCAGACCTAAAGGTTTGGATTTGCTTTGTAAAGCAAAGTGAATCTGTTAAAAACTACAGGATGAGAGCTGACAATAGAGTGCCCCCCGGAACAGACAGCTTCCCGAATGGCTAAAAGCAAAGCCCTCGTTTAAACACTCCAGACTACCTGTCTCCATTCACAATAACCTAATAAATATGGAGCCAACATAATCTGTTTAATTCCTTTGTTAAGTGATAAACTTACTTTAGAACTTGGAAGTTAATCTTTGAAAGATTTTGTAACCATTTGTTCATGTAGATAGAATTAGTTAAAGGATCTGTAAAAGCCTTTTGAAAATCTGTTAACCTGAGAGGAACTACCTGTTGTTATGTAAATCTGTTACCCCTGGCAATTAATCACTATTCCCTATAAGTTATCATGTAAGACCTCACTGAGGCTTTTTGAGACCCACGGAGAAGGTCTAGGCCCCCTGAGATCCCGCTTTGCCTATAATCTTCATAAACTTATAAAACTATATCTTTGTCTCTGTGTATTCTTTTAGTTCTTTTATTTTCCATTTTTCTCTATTATTTTCTTATCCCTTGCAACTCTACCAAAGGGACCCGGTTTTTTGCGGGGAACGTTGGCCACGTTCCCGGCACAGGTTGCTTCCATATCTTGGCTATTGTGAATAATGCTGCAATGAACATGAGAATACAGATATCTCTTCAAGATACTGATTTTATTTCCTTTGGATATAATGGAAGCGTGCTTGCTGGATATATGGTACTTCTGTTTTGAGTTTTTTGAGGAAACTCCATACAGTTTTTCACAATGGCTATACTAATTTACATTCCCACCAACAGTGTATAAGGGTTCCCTTTCCTCCACATCCTTGCCAACACCTGTTACCTTTTGTTTTTTTTATAATAGCTATTCCAACAAGTATGAGCTGATATCTCATTGAGGTTTTAATTTGCAAAGCTTGAGGCACCACACTGCCTGATTGCAAAATATACTACAAAGTTATAGTAATCAAAACAGTATTGTACTAAAATAAAAACAGACACGTAAACCAATAGAACAGAACAGAGAACTCAGAAATAAATCCACAAATTATGGTCAACTGATCTTTGACAAAGGTGCCAAAAACACAAAATGGGGAAAGGGTAGTCTCTTCAATAAATGGCATTGGGAAAACTAGATATCCATATGCAGAAGAATGAAATTGGACCCTTATCTCACATGATATACAAAGATTAGCTCAAAATGGATTAAAGACTTAAAGATAAGACCTGAAATTGTAAAATTATTAGAAGAAAACAGAGAAAAGGTTTTTTGACAGTGGTCTTGGCAATAATTTTTTGAATATGACCCGAAAAATAAAGGCAACAAAACCAAAAATAGACAAATGGGATTGCATCAAAATAAAAGGCTTCTGCAAAGCAAATGAAATAATCAACACAGTGAAGAGACCACCTACAGAATGGAAGACAGTATTTGCAAACCAAATATCTAATAAGGGGTTTATATCCAAAATATATAAGGAACTCAAACAACTCAATAGAAAGAAAACAAATGAACCCATTAAAAGATGAGCAAAGGACCTTAAAATACATTTCTCAAGAGAAGATATACAAATGGCCAGCAGGTATTTGAAAAGGTGCTCAGTATCACTAATTATCAGTTTCATTTTTTAAATGTACCCAACAAGTGGAGCCAGGTCATTTCTTGGCTCTGATTGCATTCAGCAATTGCTTTTGAGCATTTCAGTGCCTTTACCATCTCAACAAGTTCCTTAGATTGTCTCTTGTAGTCCTTTTTTGTCCTGCCAGGCACTGCCTCTGCTATTTTTTCCCCCATCTTTCAGGTTATTTGAAGGAGGACCTCCTCCATATTCTTTCTTAAATTATCAAAAGCCTTTTTGTTTGTCACCTTTTTGATGAGGGTTAAGTTTTTAGAGACTCTTTTCTTTGCCAATAAGTTCTCTTGACTCCAGAAAAAGAATGTATATTCATATAATTGGTAATAACTTCCCACCTCAAATTTGTTCCAGCAGAAAAAAAGCCATACCACGCTAATTAGCAACTGCAGGCCAATCCTCTTCTGACCAATTTTCACTGCCATTTCCACCTTCGACAGTTAATTTCTGTACGTGCTTAGATTGCTTGTTCCATACAAGCCTCAGCTTCCTCTCTCTTCTATAGTTTCCTCATTTATTTCTTCTATCATCTGCCTCTGCTAGAGCAGCTATTCCTACTGCTTTTGTGGAAGTGTTTTACTCAAGCACTGTAAACTTGCTAGTTTGAGCCTATCACAAAGTTTTTCCACTTCTTCCATCATTTTAACCTGCTCCTCTCATCGTCAGAAAAGTGATTCCAGGTCTTCCTTGAATTTCAAAGTTTTTGCCTTTCCCCTTTAATGGCTCTTTTCTGGATATTTTTTTCCTTCTTTGCAGATAATGCCTGCTGTCTAACTTCCTCTTCTTCCTCCTTAGCTATCCAAGCAGCTTCTAATTCTGCTTGGCTTTGTTTTTTGTTGTTGTTGTTGGTTTGGTTGGTTTTGTTTTTTAGTTTCTTGCTTCTTTCATTTTGCTTCTACTCTGGATTCCTTCTCTGCTTCTTTATTGGCTTTTTCTTTGAATTTTTTTATCCTGTATCACAGTTATATGAATTATCAACTAACGTTCTCATTCGTTTCTTCTTTTTTTCTTTTTCTTTGTCACTCTGTTCTGCTTTTCAATCCCTCTCCTCTCATCATGACATTCTGCCTATTTTTCTTCTGCATTTAAATAAGAAAATTCTCTCCAAGAATCAAAATTATACCAGAAGGAATAAAATGATGAATTAATAAAACCAAGTGTAGGAACTTTTTTTTTTTTAATTTGACCACCTGGAATCCCTTTTAAACATGGGGGAAAACATTTTGAAGAAACCGTCCCTTGCTTCACTTTTAGAAAGAACTGAGTTATTGAACCCAGGATCTACACTGTTAAATGCTCCTCTTTCCACTGGATCAGACATTTTATAAACTTTAGTTATGCAAGTGAAATAGTCACTATCCGCTTCCTTTGTTGGTTCACCGGCTGCTTCCCGTGATGTTATCGAACGTTGCTTTATGAGCTGCTTTGATCTGTTTCTGTGTAGCTTTGTATCCTACATGGCCAAGTCCAAGAACTGCATAATGATCCTGGTTCTTCCAATTCTTGGATCAACAGTTTTCAGCATGAGAAACTCTCCTAACTGCAATTCTTCATCTTCTTACCCTCCAATTCAGAGGTCAGCGTGATGGTGATCGTAGTGCCCTGGCCAGGGCAGCGGTCAGTGCTAGCCCTGTGGGCATAGCAGTTCCCGTCCCAGGCAGAGGGCACTGGGTGTTCTGTCCACCTTGACCACCCTGTGCAAGTAGCACTTCTTGGCTCTATGAAGACCAGGAACCCGCACATCAAGACCACCAATAACCACTTCCAAATGGAGCCTCCCTGCCACAGCCATTTCTTTCAGACTTTCAAAAAACAGATCACTTTAACTTCATACAAACATTTCCAGAAAAATCCCACCTCACCCCTCACTTATTCTGAGACCCTAGTGCCAAAAACTCAGATAAGGTCAATATGAGAAAGGAAAATTACAGGCTATCTCCCTCATGAATACAGTTTCAAAGAATGCTAAACAAAATTGTAGCAAACTGAACCTAAGTGTATCTAAAAAAGATAATTATACCATGACCAACTTGAGTTCATCCCAGAAATGTTAGGACAGTTTAATTTTAGAAACCCTAAAAATGTCATCTATCACATTAACAGATTGAAGAGGCAAACCCTATAAGCATTTCAATAAACACATGCAGAAAAAAATTTCAAAATCCATTCCGAACTTCAAAAAACATCTTCTGGTACTAAATTAATCTGATCAGTGATATCTTAAAAACCTGCAAAAGTATCAGACTAAATGGAGGAATTGTTAGAAACATTCTTTTCTAAAAAAGGATCAAAACTAGAATGCCACCTACCACCACATCTATTTAAGGATGCACAGCAGTCCTAGCCAATGCAAAAAAGAAAAAGAAAGATTAAACTAACAAGGGCTGGAACGGGAGGTGGGGGCCAAAGTGTATGAAACGGCACACAAGACGGGTCTGACACAGGTATCCACGGAGATGATGAGGATTAAATTACACCCTAAAAGAAGCACTAAATAACAAGGGAAGTAGCTAGTATGAATTACTTCATTTTATATTCTCACACCACTCTTGTACGAGGTATTTTCAGTTAACTAACATGTTTTTCAAATGAACAAAGTAAACAAAATTGGGCCGGATGGTAAAAGCTTTATTTTATGAAAATAAAAGTGCTTTTACAAACCTGAATTTTCTTTAGTACAACTGGCGTATCCTGGTCCCATACATGGTTTACTCCTCCATCAGTAATATATGCTTTACATGCTGTCACCATTTGGTTTGTTACCTAAAATAAATATAGGTACAAAATAACTATTGGCAAAAAGTGAAATAAAATTCCTATAAATTTTTTAAACCACAAGCAAAAATAGTAATTGATGAAGTGAATGAATCACAGGATACAAAAAACAAAGAAATATACATTCTAGACAGAACAAAGAAAACCCAAAGTCATATTTACCTACAACATTTAAGTCAGTGTCACTGGGGCCACAAATTTCGAAGTCAACTACTTGTTGCCTATTTTCTACTTGTCCATTCCTCCTTTCATTAGGTCTTAAATCCAGTTCAAGTGTGATTCTCTACCTTCCTTCAACATGTAGACTAAATGTAAATGAAACTACCTCTCATATCCACCAAAACAGTAAAGAAAAAACAGAAGAGCCATTTAGAAATGGTCAGGAGATTGGATCAAGATGGTAGGTTGATACAGAACTTTGGGACATTCCTAAAATATAGAAAGCGCACAGGATCAGATCTACAGGAGAGGGAAAGGACTAGAGAAAACCAAAACCCAGTTCTGAAAAAGGCTGTTGTGAAGTTGAAATGGTTCTAGAAAATTTCAAGATCAGAGACAATGTGAGGTGACCCTCAGTTGTGATCCTGCACACTGAATTTGGAGCAACTTATATAGCAGGCAATAGTGACCTTTGCTGAAAAGGACAAAGCCATGGGTTTGTGCCACAATCTTAGAGAGGTACAGCCATGCCCCAGGTAGCTACTGCACCCCAGGAGGACACATCAGAGAAAAAAACCTACCCACATTCCGCTCTCAACAGTAAGTCACACACCTCTACCCTACAAGAGACAAACTCCAGTGAACAGAATGAAAGGCAAATTAGGAGTCTCAAATAAAAAGATGGGCAGATTTGGAGGCTCATAAAATGACACCCCAAAATATGGCACATTGACATGCTGAACTAAAGAAGCAACCTCAAGGTCTCTCTTACCTTCCTCCACCCCTCCGGGTCTCTCAATCCTATGCCTCTCCCAAAGCACAGGAGGAAGCAGCTCTCTGAGGTTTCCTTACCTACCTAAAGACTGGACTTGCCAAAGAGAACACAGTTGCCTTCCATTCCCTCTCTGAAATCCCATTATCCATCTAAGAAGAGAAGACTGAGGAATGCAGCTGTACCGAGACAGACTTTTTCATAAGATAATTTCTACCTCTCAGGTTCATTCAGATCCCAAAGAGAATCATTTACAAGTTAATTTCTGTCTCCTGGGTCCATTTATTTCCCCCTAAAAATCATTTACTACCCCTCAAGATTGACCCCTAAATCTCCTGCCCCTATGAAAAGGGGTATATGAGCATCTGGACCTCATTAGGTTATTGGGTAATCACTCTCCTTCAATTCCCCCCATGCTCTGCACATTAAATAATTCTTATATGCCTGGCCAGTCATGGTGGCTCACATCTATAATCCCAGCACCTTGGAAAGTTGAGGCAGGAGGATCACTTGAGCCCAGGAGTTCAAGGCTGCAGTGAGATGAGACCCTGTCTCTAAAAAACAAAATAAAATAAACCAAAAAAAAAATTTTATGCCTTTTTCTCTTATTAATCTGACTCTTGTCAGTTCATTTTCAGTGAATCTTTAAAGGGCAGAGGGAAGGCTTTCCCTCCACAACCAAGAATCACCAAGCAATTAAGGAAAACAAACTCGAGAACTAAGGCATTAAACTGAACAAAGAGAAGAAACACAGAGAGGTATAGGTAAAACCTTTTAAAATATCTTTCATTAACTAAATTAACTGATGAGAAAGATACAAGAGGAATTTATAACCATAAAAACAACTAGAGAACTTGTAAATTCAAATCTTTATTGTCAAAATTAAGAAAAATGTATTCTATTGATGAACTGACCAGCAATTGGTACACAAATAGCAAATGAGTGAGCTGAAAAGTCAAAGGACAAAGATGGGAGGAAAAAAAATTAAGAAAACTGGAAGTCAGACTCAAGGGGAGTGAATAAATTGAATAGGTGGGTTAGAAATAATCAAAGGCAAAAGAGGACTATTTCCCAGGAATAAAGAGAAAGTCTCTGGATTGAAACAATCCAGCAAGTATAGAACAAGATAAATTTAAAAAGACCACATCAGTTTGAAACTTTAGATGTTCAAGGATAAAGAAAAAATCCTAAAAGCTTCTTGAGAGAACAAAACCAGTTACCTGCAAAGGAAAAAAGAATCAGATTAGCACCAAACTTCTCATCAACAATATTGGATACCAGACGATGACTAAGCAATATCTGCAAAGTTCCAGGAGAAACGATGTTGAACTTAAAATCCCAGTCGAACTGGCATTTGAGTGGTTGGAAAAAATAAAGCTATTTTCAGATACCTAGGAATTCAGGAAGTTCACCACCCCCAGACCCTCTCTGAAAAAATTACTTGAGAATTTTTTCAGCCAAAGAAGTAATGAATCTAAGGAGGAAGATGAGGAAATCACAAAACAGCGGTGATCAAAGAAAGTAGCAATACTTAGATTGATTCTAGTCTGCATACTTGTTGACCCATAATGTTGAAAAAATGTTAACAATAACATGGAACTGTTTAAAGAAAAAATGATTCAATGATACTTGCATGGTAAGGAAGACTTTATTCAGGACCACTGTGATAGGTGTAAGGGACCACTGCAGTGGGGTCTTGCAGTGGGGAAGAGAGAGTGGGCTCAACTCCAAGTACAGAATGGGCAAGTGGGAATTTATAGCCAAGGAGCAGCGCAGGGGTCAGCAGAGGGAAAGTTACTAAGAGGAAACATGACGGGTAAGAGGGATTTTGGCAAAGCTGACCTAACAGGATTCTTACTTAAGACAGGCCAAGGTGATGAGAAATCACCTGGGGGATGGTATACGATGGGGAAGCTGATCAGATATCAAGGGTGATCAGATATAGAGGACAGGAGGGTTCTTGCAAAACTGACTGAGCAGGGTTCTTTGCTAAAACTAGATTTTACAAGGAAGTACACAGATGGGCCTAGCAGAAGATTCAGAAGCCTGGCTGCAGCGTGGTCAAGCAAAGAATCTTGGCCAGAACTAAACAATCTCAAGGTGGGACACATATAGCAAGAACAAGGGAGACAAGTGAAAGGGAAAAATCCCGAGATCTGAGATTCTTGTCTAATTTAGGACATAGAGAGTGATAAAATCTATACTTTGCTTTTTAAAACAGCTGAAATGTGACTGTGACTTTACATGTTTAGTTCTGCTGGAATCATTTACAAAGAAATTCTACTCATGTGTTTCTTGGATAATTTTTCAAATTATTTAATGTAATTTACCGTATGGTGATACACAGGATTTTACACAAACCACAGTGCTGGTGGCAGTAACTAAAGAAGCACTGTTAACAGTGAACACAAGCCTTATTTCTTGAGTAGAATCAAAACCACGTGAAATGAATGAATTAGAAAACCACCAGCTACTTTTTTTCTTTGAAGTCTTGGAGTTTACCTCTGACAAGGAGAAAGGTACTGATGACCCCTTCCATTCAGTACAACTGCCTCCCGTCAACACCTATCTTTCTTTGTCCACTGGAAGGATTAAAATCCAGAACTCTGAGAGGCACTCAGACTTCCCCACTCCCCTCCCAGGCTCACAGGGAAAGAATTAACTTTTTCACAAGATTGCATGTGTGATTTCTCCCCTTAGAAACTCACCTTGATGAACAATGAGGTCATTCTCTCTGAGGTATTATAATACCTTGACACACCATGAATCATTCTGATGGCATTAATCAGATTTTGTATCCCATGTGCCATGGAAACCTAAAATCAAAACATATTAAGTGAATTCCCTCATATGTTTATAGTTTTAATAACCAATATTCTACAATATTCAGAACTCGAAACATACACAAAATAGTATGACATTTTCATCTGAAAGTCAAATTTTACTAAATGCAACGTGGTATCCTAGACTAGATCCTGGAACAGAAAATAGGACATTAGTTTTGACAAACATACCAAGGTAATGCAAGATGATAACAGGAGAAACTGGGTGAACAGAATTCTGGACTATCACTGCAACTCTTCTGTAAATCCAAACTTAAAAGTTATTTTAAAATAAAATTTCAGAGGTGAAAGCAACTTTAAAGAGTAATAGTTCAATTTGCTCTTTTTAAAGATGAAGAAACCGACACCTTGAGGGGTAAAGTATTAGTTATGGTCAGAAAGCTAGTTAAAAACAAGAAATCTGACTAGAACTCATTTTCACTTATTTAACTCAATTTACCTTTCAGCAAACTTTCTAAGTGCCATGAGTTTCTGAAGCTATTGGGAAAAATCCAAAGGGAAGAATTTGTGAGGAGCTCACAGCAGAGTTAAAGGGACAAGCATGAACAAGTAGAACACGTAGAACAAAGGAGAACAAAGCAGAACAAGTACAAGAAAGATATAAAACAATCACTAACGTGTATTAAATGCTTACTATATGCCAGGCACTAGACAAAGAGCTATACATATTCTCCTAACATATGCTGACAACCACTGCCACTTAAGGCAGGTTTGATTTCATCACACACAAAACATCACTGATTGTAAGACTACACCATTATTTTATGTACTACTGAGAAAGGGAAAAAAACACCCAAGATGGGGAGTTTACCTCCCACATAAAACTAGGCCACCAGTAGGCTAAACCCTCTCTGTTAAGGTAAACATGAAATAAACCAACCTTGGAGGAAAATGGAGAAACAAAACTTAGACGCTACCAGGGGAAGGAGAGAAAACTCCGCTGAGAATTGGTACCACAAGCTGGTACTCAACTGCAGTTGGAATTCACACTAATGGCACCAAAAAAAAAAACCCAAAAACAAAAACACCCTCAAGGAGAGAACTCATCATTTAAGATGTTATCAAGCCACATCCACAATGATTCAGAAAACTTGACTGACCGAAAATATGTCCTGAGTTCAGAGAAGTTAAAATGTGAAGAAATGTGTGTCTTGGAATCTATAAAATAAAATATTATTATTATTCCCATTTTGCAAATGAGAAAATGGAGAGGTAGGTATTTTAAGTGCCTTGCCCAAGATCCCACAGCTATAAGTTGTACGGTAGAGATTTTGAGACCCTGCTGTAACCATGTTGCAAACCACTATGGAAAAACAGAGAAAGCCAATGGCACCCTGCCTTCAAGTAACTTGCCTTTTAATTGACAGAACAAGATAAAATATATAAAAAATTTCTTAAATGGTGATGGAATCAATAAAAGAAAAACAACTACT